CTCCTAAAAAAAAGATATATAAGATATGTATATGTATTATGAAATATTTATAAATTATTTACATTTTGGTGCTTTTAATAATAAGTGTTAGAATTGAGATAAAAATATCAGTAAAATAGAAATATTTCAAAACCTTGACACAAACATTACAGTAATACTTCTATAGCATCTTTGGGTCACTTTATTTATATTTTCCTTTGCCATTTGTGTACTGTGGATTTTCCTACACATCTCTAAAAAACAAAAATAGTTTTGTCTGCAAATCAAAAGAGACTCGTCTACCAATTAGAAAAAACAAAAACTACACGTTAGCAAATCTGACAATGTTTGGTTATGTGTCATATTCTTCTTTTTTTTTTTCATTAGTGGCCTTCACCTTTAGAGTAGGTATTTGACTAGGGTATCATGAATAAAAAATATTCCTCACAATCGAACTTTCCGTGTAACAAAGACTTACGTTTGACGATAGGCTAGTTTATGAGTGGAGCCAATAAGACACTATTAGGTAATTTTTACTACCAACTACCAAAACGTACTAGGCGCATACTTTTGACTTGACTGTTAGAATCATTCTTTTGTCCTTTTCTGGTCTACATTATAGGAAAACTATAAATACTTATTTTATCTATGAAGAGAAAGATAATTTGATCTCGGAGGCTTAATTTTTTTTATTAATTGAAAATATGTTTGCACGATAATGATTTAAAGTTACATACCAGAGTTCTAAGTTCACGTTTTTGTTTAATTTAAGTCTTTATAAACTAAACAAGGATGATCCTGTTAACTATGTCTTCATTTGTACTTATAGATAATAAAACAAAATAGTTAAATATAACATAATATTCTACAGAGATATCTATACAATATGAAAAATGAATATGCAGAGCATATCAAAAATACATATGCCTGGAATATCCTTCTAGAATGTAGAATATAAAATATATTCAGTGAATATTCCATAAATATTGCAAATATTTTGGCAAATAGGCAGATTGGTGGCATATGCCAGGGATATAGTGTGCTGTCTGGGTAGGGAATTAGGGAATTAGGGAACGTCAATTCACTAACCGTATATTTTTACGGTTACCATTAAATCAAATGACAATCTGTCACAATAATAATAATACATCTCTCGACCATGGTCTAAATTTTTAAAATAGCGATAGAATTAACAGCGATGCTGGAAAAAGATAGAAAGGTCAGTTTTCCATGGAGCCTATAAGAACTAGGTATTAAATTAATAATAAAAAAATCAATGAACATTAATTTAATCACGTAAAGTTTTATAATAAATAACACTTATGTACATTAAATATTATAAAATACTAAAAGTTAGTATGTAAGCTTAGATAAAAGAGACCAGAGATATAACATACACCGGTTTTAAACCTGCGCAAATGTTGCCAATTTCTAAAAAAGGGTTAACGGAGTGGGGGAACTGGGCGGCGACACGCGGCGACCCGAACTCTGTGACAGGGACCGGACTTTGTTTATTAGCATCTTAATGAACAATTAGGTTTATTTAAAAGGTGTTTAATCGAATTTTGTATTATGAAATCAAATTATCGTGATTTTTTAATATCAAACAGATGCCACGACATTTTATGTAAAGAGAAGACCTTTTATAGAATATTTCGTTAGCGTTTATTTACTACGGACTTTTCTGCAAGAGATTACAGTAAAATGTTGAAATAGAATATATTGTTAATAGAGCACAAAATGTTACTCATTGTCTACGAGTATTATAAAAATAGCATGTGCGCAGGCTAATACTGCAAATCTACCCTTATGAGTTGAACATTATATTTTTTCTACGGCTATTACATATTATTAAAAATTAGTCAAAATGAGAAAATGCTGTTTTGTATTGTAACCTCAGAAAAAAGTATATTAAGGCTTCTTTCTTTAAGAATATTAATTATTATAAAGGATGAGTCACATAAAACTCTAGAAATGCATATGTCTGAAACCAGTTAACATTTTAAAATTTAAATCTAATAAAAGTCATTTGGTCGCTAGGGATGAGTGATTATCGAAATAAATTATCGATAATTGAAAATAATCGATTATTTTCGATCAATAGATTATTTTCAAACGATATATTTTTTGTCATTTCCTTTAAAATCGACTACTTGATTATCTTTGAAAAATCCAAAATAATCGATTAATTAAAAAGCCAATTAACCGATAAATCAGTGTTTACAAAATATAATATAAATAGAATTATCGTTTATTTTAAATAATCGAATATTTTCAAATAAACAATTTTTTTTCGTCCATGGAAACAGAATATTCGATAATCTTTGAAAAATCGAAAATAATCGATTAATCAAAAATAATCAATTAATTAAAAAGTCGATTAACTGATAAATCGATTTAAAAAAAAACAGAATGATCGATTATTTTAAATAATTAATTATTTTCGATCAATCGATTATTATCAATAATCTATTTTTATTGTATTTCCTTTAAAATCGTTAATTCGATTATCTTTGAAATACCAAAAATAATCGATAATTCCAAAATAATCGCCTAATCGAAAATAATCAATTAATTAAGAAGCCGATTCTATGATATATCGATTATTACCAATAATCTATTTTATTGTATTTCAAAAATATTCGATTAATTAAAAAGTCGATTAACTGACAAATCGATTTTCAAAAAAAACAGAATGATCTATTATTTTAAATAATCGATTATTTTCGATCAATCGATTATTATCAATAATCTATTTTTATTGTATTTCCTTTAAAATCGATAATTCGATTATCTTTGAAATATCAAAAATAATCAATAATTCCAAAATAATCGCCTAATCGAAAATAACCAATTAATTAAGAAGCCGATTTTATGATAAATCGATTTTCCAAAAAATAAAACGAATTATCTATTATTTTCTAATAATCCTTTTTTCATATTTCCTTTGAAATTGATTATTCGATTATCGAAAATAATTGATTATTAAAAAGCTGATTATCCAATAAATCGATAATTTTAAAAAAATAACCAAAATATCGATTATGTAAAATAACCGATTATATTCAATCGATTATTTTCATATAATATCTTTGAAAAATCGAAAATAATCAAATAATTAAAAAACCGATTAAACAATAAATCGATTATTTTGAATAAATCTACTTTTTTTTGTATTTCCTTTAAAATCGATTAATACATAATCTTAAAAAAAAAACGAAAATAATTTATTAAAAACAGCGGATAAATCGATTTTCATTAAAAAATATCAGAATTATCGATAAATCGATTATTTTTGTAACCCCTATCGGTCGCTTGCTTTTATCTGAGCATTTAGCTCCAAAATTTAGAGATTCGGATTTTTTGATCCAGTTATCTTTGAAATCGCATTCGTTTGTATAATAAATAAATATTGCTAAATTTTGAATTTTGTTCGAGTTGTTTAGGGGTTTGTAATGTAACATTTTATTAACTTGACTAAGGGTCGATTCCACCGTTGTGTTAAACGAAGTTTAAAATGACATTTTTACATTAACACTGTCATTTTAATCTCCGTTTAACACAACGGTGGAATCGGACCTAACTCCTGTAACTTTAGTATTTTTTGTTTGCTTATACTAGATTACTTTGTTTTAAGACTGAAAATTCAATGTCACTTTCGATTTGACCGCAAATAAGATGAACCTTGAAATTATAAGTAGGTCATCCTGTATTTCATCTAATATTCTTATAAAAATACCTTATAAAAATAAAATTTAGCTAGCAACTATGATTCTTTAACTCTTATTTATCTACCAAAAAGGGCTAAAAACTACCTTTAGAAAACATTCTTATAAAACTACTTTTTAAATACAAAATTTCGTTAGCAATAATGCCTATTTATACTATTTATTTAAATTAAATGTTCAAAATTTTACCCTTTTGTAAATGTATGTAAGTAATATGAAATCTGAGTTTGTGATGCTTAATATTTATTGAAACCCCTTAATGCGGATCTGAAGTATTCAGCCCAGAGAATTATGGCGCTTTATGTCAAAACATTAATAAATATTTACCGCTGAAAACGAATATATTCATAACAGTAGTACTTGTATTATAAGTACATACAATTTTTCAAGATACATCGTGACATTTTGAACTTGAAATTGAATAACTAGAATACTTTAAATTGCTAAAATACCAACAAATAAATCAAAAAACAGCTGTCAATGGTGATTAAACTCAGGTGGAGGTGTGATCGCTGAATGGAAATCGGAGCAATTCGGGTGGCGTCGTGCAACAATGATTTTCAATTGGTGGGTTACTTTGGCTTAAAATAGACAACATGCGCAGTGTGCAATGTTACATCTTCGGTCTCTTTAATCTAAGTATGTAAGGCAGTTTCTAATAGTTTATGGAATTAAATCATGGGCACCACCATAAGAGGACAAGGGGGGCATCTGCCCCCTCTGGATTTGTGATTTTTGAGATTTTTTGCCATGCTTTCGACTACAGTCTACGGCGTTTTGACCCTGCCTATAAGACTTGCCCCCCTTGCCCCCCTGGAAATTTTTAGTACGGCGCCGATGAATTAAATCACACTTATGAAAATAGTTTATAAAAAAATATTAATCTAGTGTAGATTATTTACTATCTAGTTATACAATAATTAAAAATCTATTTTTGTTGACTTACCTATTAACTAAATTTCACTATTGTTTTATTATTTATTTATAATTTTATGACAGGCAGTAAATAAAAATGTATTATTAATATTAACTAAGAATATTAATATAACCTCAAAAATTAAAAACGCAGATAATAGCACTATTAAATGCATTTTACATATGGTATATTTTTTTTTTTTTGGCATCATCAACACTATTTATCTACATTTACAATAAGACTAGTGTTAAAAAAACTTACAGTAAACAAAAATGTTTTTTTTTTTGTAATTACTACATCAACAGATATAACATCTAAAATCTGAAACATTACAACATATATTGAACACTATATAGTATATAGGCAGTCAAAATTGCCTATAACTTGGTTATACCCTATTAATAAGTTCTCTTTTCTTTGCTTTCAAGATGGTAATGGTGGCATCCGCTCGCTTACGTTTCTTACGTCCTAAGCTTTTGACACCTTTAGCCCTAACTTGACAGATAAAGTGTTTCTTTTCCATTTGATTTGCTGCATTCCACCTAAAAATAAATAATACACAATTCATATATTGGTAGATACACAGTACAGGAATTTATTGACTTTTTATAAAATAACTTCCACGTAGGTAAAAACCTAAATGACTGTATATTAGAAAGATCAGAAAAAACTTGGATAAAGGAGTTTAAAAATAGTTGCTACACTAGGTATCAATGAGCAATCATTCCTAGACTTCCGAAGCTGAACCCTATACGGGTGCGAATTAAGGTAGCTCTGTTTGGTCTGCCTAAAAGTGGTAGAAGAGAATAAAATTAGGAAGGTCAGAGTTTAATGAATCTGTAGGACAAATATAAACCTCTAACTGTACGCCTATGTCGATATCCCAGACGAGCGAGATTTTTAGTAAGATTGTACGGATAGCTCTTCTTTGAACATCATCAAGAAGTGTTGAAGTTGCTGCAGCTCCAAAAATTTGTTATCACTATTCAAGTTTAGGTCTTATTTGGTCCTTATATAATCAAGAGAATAGATGGGAAAAATGAGATGGGGTAAAATGTGTCCTTGCTATAAATATAAATTTCAATTTCTTACAAGAAGATGTGGCAATGTGTTTTATTAGAGGCTTATCCTTCATTTGACGGCTCTAAATTAAACCCACTTCAACATTTTATCTTTAATAAGATACGCCACTGGTATCGACAGACTTTTAGTTGCGTGTAACAGCAGTGTTGCCAGACGAGATCTTGGATTACAGTCTTCTTTCAATCCACATAAAATATCTTCTTTCTCTTTTCCAATGATTGGGACCAAACAGAAGATACGTTATGAATGAAATGCTTCATCTGTTCTTTCTTTTATCCAAGTTTAGAACATTATTTAAGATGCTTTAACGATTTTTTCTTTTATACCCTAATATTTATCTTTTACCTTTGCTGTATGCACGGTTAAAGAGTGAATAAACTAAACAAGTGAATTAATTTTTTAACAAAATAATTATCTGAATAGTGTGATCGATTAGCTTAAAAGAGCTCATCACGTATAACCTGATTGTTCATGAAAACAAGGTGGTAGGTGGCGTAGGTACCTTTTATTTGAAAGTTCCAAGGAATATGTTTAAGAGAAGTTAAACTGGATCAAGTTCTTGAGTCCTCAGAAATAAAAAATTAAGTTTTCTGTCATTATATCGACAATCTTAAAAAATTCAAAAAGTCCTAATTTCAAACCAATTAGCTATTTAGATTCCGTTTTATTATAGAAAAAAAACAACAATTTTAATTGCCTAATACCAGTATACGTTTTTAAACTTTTATATATAAAAATTCAAAATATATTCTTTACTTACTGATTGTCTAGTTTTGGATCCATATAAATGCTATTCCAGACTAAACTTTCAGGTTGTCTTCTTTTCAATACAGCACTATTGAACCCTCTGTACGTAAGTGGCTGACTCGTCATGGCCCATCGCCATTTCGTCGTTCTCCAATCGTATATACCGCCTATCCATCTATCATGTCGTTCTAAAAATAAAAACAAAACATTGCATGCATTTATAAATAGTTAAATTTAAAAGGAAAATCTGTTAAAAATATATAAAAAATAGAACTTAATTCAGGCTAAGGCGACAAGCAGGGCCCCTGCTACCATATGTGCAAAGTGTGCAATGCACACAGGCGCCATCCTTTAGGGGCGCCAAAACCCAAGGTCCAAAAAAAAATGCAAAAGAAAACAAAAAAACAAAAATAAAAGTTGAGAAATTAAATAGGATTAGGTATAAATACACACGAAATTTTATTTGTATATCATCCAGTTAATGCCGATTCCTATGTTGCGAGCACATCTTAGGCGGCAGTTTCTTGAATTTTCCTGACATGAATAATGCCTGGAGCGATATAAAAGCGATGCATCGCCAGAGGCATTTTAAACCGGTTAGTTCACTGGACCGTGCTGAATACCTACTGACTGCAATTTCAACGGTTTGATTTTTTTATTAAATGGTAAGTGTTCCCTACTTTATACTATCAACGTTAACCCTTTATAGGATACTGATTATAATGAATTTTTTTTTACCCAAATATCTTTTTATTAATTAAAATGTACGAGTTTAAAAAAGTAATTGGATTTTTATCCATAACTCGCTTAGTTTTTATGCTATCGATCTTTGTAAAAACCATTTTGTAGGGGTTTTTTAATGGCTATAAGATCAAATTAGTTTAATTTTTTTTCGCTTTTATTTTTGAAAGGGTTTAAGCTGAAAGGGCTCGAATAAATTGCTTTTTACACAAATATGCAAACTTGGTGCTTATTATTGTGCTTACTTTAGAAGTTAATTCCTAATTCCCATAAGTACTAATTATTTATTTGTTTTTTCAGGATAAAAGAAATGGACCTTAAGATGCGAAGTTTCGCGAGCAAAAGAAGCTGAGACTACAAGAAAGGGAAAAAATGGCTGGACCCCTTAAACTTTATTTAATTAAGGTTTGCAAAAGTCTTCTAGAAATAGCTGAAGATAATGCCTTTCACATTAATGCAAGATATAAAGCGAGTTCCCTCTTAACGTCTGTACAAAATTAAAGCGTTAAAGTTGTTTTCATTACCTGATGATACTGACCCCTTAAGTATTTTATAATACATATTTGAAAGCAATTTGATCTCCACTCTTCCGAAAATAAGTATTTTACTAAGAATTCTTCTGATATTGCCTGTATTTTTAGCTTCTGGTGAGCGATCTTTTTCAAAGTTAAACATCATTAAAAATTATTTAAGATCGACAATGCTTCAAGAAAGATTGTCTGGGCTAGCAATATCAGCAATTGAACAAGAAATTTTTGATGGTATAAATTTTAACGTTGTAATTAATGAATTTGCAACAGCAAAGTCTACTACAATAGCTATTTTTTATTTTTCTATTGTACCTAGCTATCATTTTTGATTTTATAATGAAGTTACCTAGGTATTTGTTATCAGAAGTATCTGCATATTTTTGAAAATATCTAAGTATAAGTAGAAAGTAGTACTTATATATATGTAGATATTAGGCAATACTTCTGTTATTTGTTCGTAAAAAAAAGTGATTTTTAGTTTTGGGTTATTTTCTAGTATTTATAAACAATGTGTCTGTACCCCATTAGTTAAGTAAATGCTTTAAAATGGATGTTGGACAAGAATTTATTTTAATTTATTTTGTTATGATTTTATTCTGTCTGTTTCATTTTGAGATTTTAGTCTACAATTAAATATGACTTCTAAAGTTCAGTATTTTGCTTTATTTCAAGCATCTACCTACCTACCTACCTACCTACCTACCTACCTACCTACCTACCTACCTACCTACCTACCTTTAAAAAAATAAAAAAAAACATGATCCAAAACGCCTTAAGGGGCTCCAAAATCCTTTTTTGCACACAAGCGCCAGTATCCCTTACAGGGGCCCTGCCGACAAGCTCAATGTTTAAGACGTTCGCGAATGAAAACCATTCAATGTGTATCTGATTCACAACTTCATGTATAAAACATATCAAAATAAGAGTGACAAGGCTATATCTAATGAACTAAAGATGATATCAAAAAATGCTTAAAAAGATTTCTAGGTTACAGGTTACTTAAAATGTGTCAGAGTCTAGTATTTGAAATTCCCACCTATAACCGTCAGGAAAATGAGAATTTAAGGATAATTAAAAATCTCCCTTATTCTAATTTGATTTTCTCACCGCCAAACACGATTTCCTTCTTTACAGTAGTCTGTCACAAGCTTTATGTACTTCAAACATACCATTGCAAAGCTAACACCATAATTTGTCTATATAGACGTATCTAAAGATGAAGTAGTTTTTACATAAATACATAGAGCCTATTTTGAAATCAAAATTAGAATATGCCAGATTAAAATGGAAATTATATTCACCTTAAAGTTCTTGAAAACGATGACCTAAAATGTGTGGCATGTCTGATTGATAAACAAATATATTCACCCATTGGGTTAAATCACATCTTACTTTTAAATAGGATTCCGAAAAATTTGTTATTTCTTTTTAAACTTTTCCTTACTCAAATTCTCAGTTATTACAAGGGAAATCAAAATTATTTAATTTCGACATAATTCTCTCTCCTATCTGCCATTACCCCGTATTAATTTATTAAATAAATCACCGCTTAATATGAATTGCAACAAGCTGTAAAGTAGAATTGATTTATTTTCTTGCAATCTTTCGCTGCTGAAGAAATTGTAATAACACAGGTGTTTATTATTATTTTTATTTATAGCAAATATTTTAGTCGATGATTGTACTACGCTCTTGCTTTATAACTAGATATATTGCCTGTAAAACAGTGCATTTAATAAATTAACTTCAAATAAGTATATATGTATAGTAGGTAACAGTTTGCTGGAGCGCCACTGGCCTCATCAAATATGTATTAAGTGATAAATATTAATTTTAAAAAGCAATTAATAATGTTTCCTATATCAGAATTATTAATAAAAATATGAATAACTAAGTTTTATAGGAGCATTGAACATATGACATGCTTTATTATTACAAAGGTAATAAAGATAAAATTAAACTATTTATCTATTAGTCTAAAAATAATTTGGACCAGCAGAACTTTTATTTAATATACAAACTATCAATTCTTTTACGAAATATTTTATAGAGGTTGTCTCAAACTAGACTCACTCAAAATAGACTATAAAACCATAATTAATTGCTATAAACGTTATATTATTGTTAATTAATTATTGAAAATTAAGTAATTAACTATATTAATTATAAAACTTGTTTAAATACGATAAACAATGACAAATGATGATGTAAGACTAATGACTGATGGACAAATGCAAATCGCGAGAAAATATTTTAATCATTTGAAAAGAAAATACGAACCATGACACATTATAAAGAAGTAATCAGACCTACCTTATCCAATTAATCCATTAGTTGATATAATATAAAATAATATCACCAAGAAAAATATTCTTGTAAATTTGATCTAATTCAAGTACTGAAATTAAAAGAATGCTAAAAAAGGCGTAGGTAATTACACTTACTAATTTATTTAATTTGATTTTAGATTTATAAGGAGTAGATTTCAAAATCAGTGACAAATGTACCTATTTTGACAAAATAGGTACGCTTGTCACCTGTCACTTTGGTACAAACGATTTTATAATGAATTAATATAATGTCATGATTTACATGAGTTAAGGGTTCTAATGAAAGTTTGGTGCCTTTTGATGTACTTGTTTTAATTACATGATTCAAATGTTGTATTTGATCAATGATCCCATGTGGTATAGTATTACCAAAAAGTTAATTTTTGCCAAGAATATGTGTTTAAAAACATTTTGGCCCTTCGAGCGTTGGAAAAGACATTATAGAATCTGTAGCTCTTATTTTGGCCAAGAGAAAAGTTCAAAACTAAAATGTCTCACAAAGAGTGTGCCGTAAGAAAATCCAGCAGGGCTACTGGAGGGATACCACCATGACCAGTAAGAAATTAAAAGAAATAGAATTGAAAAACTTGGAAGCCATAAACAACTGCAGGAAGGAGAAGATTTATAAAACAGAATTACAAAAACAAGAGATGAAATTACAGAAACTAGAAGTGGAATTAGAGAAACAAGAAAAAGAGATACAGAAAAAGTTTGAACGAAGGGAATATAAAAATAAAAAAAAGGTAAATATTGTAGAATCGAAAGCATCAATTGAAGCTGAAATGGTAATAGAAAATAGTATAAATTGCATTGGTGTTAAAAGTAATAACTCTAAAGGTTCTATTGAATCAAATGAAAGAATATATACTGAAATACCGTGTGTCCATAAAAAAGTAAGTTCTTGGTTAAAAGCCGATAAATTGTCTCGTAAAGAATCTATATTTTATTGAAAAAAATAAAAAATTCAATCAATATGAACCTAAAAATACCGCTTAATAATCCAGTCTATTCAATATCTAAGTGACTGGTGAAGGAGTTTAGGCAATGACAAATGCGTTTGAAAATAACCAAGTGATAAATATATCTAAACTATCTTTAACAAATGTTCTTGGGAAAGACCTTCATAACTTTGGGGCTAACGTCGAGGAATGGTCCATGTTTATTTCACTGTTCAAAAGGTCAACAGAAACCTGTGGTTATAACGATGAAGAAAATATGATTTGTTTGCAGAAAGTACTAAAACATGAAGACTTTAAAGCTGCAAAGTCTTTCATTGTATCTCCAGACTACTTAAAATGTATCCTTAATACTCTATAAATGATATTTGGTCGCCCTGAATACCTAATAGAATCGATAATGAATAAAGTCAAACAATTGTCTTCAGTAAATAGTCGTTATCCACTATCGTTCATTAAATTTTCAAATGCTGTTCAAAATCTATATATTACGTCTCAGTCCTTAAAAATAACACTCTAAACTCAAACAAATAATGATTGAGAGTGAAAGCAGGTAGAAATACGACCAAATCGGAGGCGTGCTTATTATTTTTGAGAGGGTACAATTATTTAAAATATTCATACAATTTCTTTTATTTATTTCATGAAAACTTTGCAATATCGTAATTTACCTAATCGTTGTAGTCATTAGTGGGGCTTTATGAAAACGGAGTAATAATTGTGGTAATTATAGTAGGAACCAAATAAATTAAGAATATTAATAAAAATCACAATATATATTTCAAATTAAAAATAAGAAAGATACCTAATCAGGGGTTGGTTTGGTGACAGAAACAATATTATCAATTTTACTATTTTAATAATGACTTTAACTTTATTTCACAAATTAACGTATATTTATATATTATGTCGCGGCCGAAGTCAGTAAGGAACTGTCTCTTAAGTTTCTTCTTGGGTTACACATACAGAAGTATTACTCAAATTTTAAATTAAAATCATAATGACGGATATTGCATATCCAATGCAATTGATATTTTTATTTTGTTTTGTTTAGTTATTTTAAAACTTTATATTTTTTAATCTTTTTATATTATATTCAGTTTTCAATTTACTTCGCTTTGTCTATAAAATTTTTGTAATTTTTCAATGACAATAAAGCATACCTCTATATATATATATATATATATATATCTCTCTCTCTCTCTCTCTCCCGGTTTACCTGCAGTTCCTCGAAACTAGCCAGCCTTACCCAAGAAACCCTAATTGGGTTCGGCCAACATTCAAAGACATTATAAAGCTTAAATTACTATTTGATTGGTACTTAAATCATAAAAGTTTACACGCACCTATCATTTCGGAAATCCCTAAGTAAGATAATTAGTTTGGATATAACCTACAGGATTATGTTTTCTTGACCGCCAAACATAATAATAATAATAATAATAATAATGTTTATTTCAAATTTATGTAACAATGTACAAATTGATACAATAATAATAATTAAATAAATAAACATTTGTATCCTGCTGAGACATTGTTCATGTCTGTGTACAGGAATTAAAAATACAAATTTATATAATAATTTCTAAATGGTAATAGTGAATGGTAAAAATAAAAATTATACCTAAATATATAGACTTCTTTTTGTGTACAAATTTTCTTCTAATCTTCAACCTCAGATTCGTCACTGCTGCTACCGCTATCATCAAAGTTAATTATGATTGGTTCAATATTGTGTTCAATACGGTTGTCTACGTCCCACATTTTTTGCTCTTCTTTTAAAACATGCTGAATGCATTTCTTCCAGTATTCTGCAGAAACATTTTGAATGGCTTCTTGTAGGTAACGTTGCACGTCCACTAATTTAAATGTTCTGTTTTCTCGTGCCACATATCCTTTTACTTGCGCCCAGATTAATTCTATTGGGTTTAATTCGCAGTGGTACGGTGGTAACCTTAATACTGTAATTCCACGACTTAACGCCATTTCATCCACTGCGAATTTTTTATATTTGTCTCTGTGTAATTTTGTTAACTGAAGTAGTTCTGCCTTTAAACTATCTTTTTTATATTGGATGTTTTTATTAATTAACCATTCTTTTATTGCTTGTTTTTTCCATGATTGTTTCGGTAATGATTCTAAATACCGACTATGATATGGGGCATTGTCCATGACGACGACAGACCCAGGTTCCACAAGTTGAATGATGCCTTCAAACCATTTTTCAAACACCTCCGCATTCATCTCTTCATGATAGTCGCCTGTTTTCTTGGATTTAAATATTAATTCACCATTTGGTAAAAATCCACTGTCGCTTCCTATATGCGTAACTATCAGACGACTACCTTTTCCAGACGGCTAGAAATACACTACTGAGAACGTCATCGACGAGATGGATTTTACGCGTAACAGACAAAGACACAAATATCGCTCCGTACACCGATGCCATTAGTTGTAACAAATACTGAACAATCCATAAAATAATTAATTTTAAATGATCAAGAAATGTATAAGTATTACTCATTACTGATTTTTGTTATAATTAATATCTTTTATTAGTACTATGATTGTATATTATCTATAATTTGCCACAACTTACAACTCTACTACTTACTCTATTTTGATTCTGCTAAAAACTAGTAAGGTAAAATTGAGATATGACAACACGGTTCACTCTCAATCATTATTTGTTTGAGTATATATCAACAACCCTTAACTTATTAGCTCCCTCATTTCAGACCACCTAAAATTTTAGTTGTAAAGAGACAACAAAATAATGGAACATTCGTGTACTAAATGTCTACTTATTATGAAAACGATAATATGATGATACTTACTTACCAATAAAGTTGTTTAAAAATATCCTCAGATTGTAATCCTGCATCTTGGTTTTTACCATAGCGAGTTTACTATCATTTTTTCGGCATTCAAAATGAGCATCCATAAATGTAGCTTCTGTAGTGCTAAAGAAGTAGCAGCGATTTGCTAAACTAATCATGTGAGAAGGACAGACCCAACCGTCATGGTTTCGTTTTTTGGATAATAATTTTTTAGGATCATCCATTGTCACTAAAATTTGTAAAACAAAAATATACTAAAAACGTGCCCAAAGTATCATTCTAATGAAAAGTGGGTTTTTGTTAATAAAAAAAATAAAGGTAGAGGATTGAGAGTCCTATAAACCTTAATTATGAAAGTTAAGGTTTTTCTTACCCGACGAAAAAATAAATCTTACGTTCAAAAATTTTCAAAAAATTCTCCTAACATACTCATTAAATAAGTAACTAATGGGCAAATTTTGAAAAAATGTGATAAGCCGTTTTTGAGGAAAAAATTCAAATAAGTAAAAAGTTATCTTTCATCAAAATTGTTCTATGCGATCTCTGTTATTGTTATACTAGCAGAATTTTTACAAAATTTTTAAATTTACAGTTTTTTATAAATAATAATAATACTATTTCACAATAAATTATTTCTAAAACTTTTATAAACGTACAAAATTAGTCTATTTCCTGTTATTATAATTTTTTATTGCTTTACACACCACCTAAGATTTATTCTAAACACTGAATAATATTAAAAAGTCAATAAAAACGTTTAAATTTATTAAATATTTTTAAATTTGGCACCTAAAACGTTAGTCCAGTAGGTGCTGCTAGGAATAGAAATTAAATTAACGTTTCTGAATCTACTCACTTGGATGTATCATGACCGCCATGTTGCCAAATCGAATTACATATCAAAGAACAAAGGATATTACAGAATGGTTAATATAATAGCAAATGTAATAATTAATTGTGAGATTATTTATTGATTATACGGATGTCCAACTCTAATTAGCAATAATTGTACTTACAGAAAACTATAATGTTTAGCGCTAGTTTTCGATAATTTTTGTGCTATCGTAACTCCATCTTACGTTAGCGAAACGTAACTTTTGTAGGGTAATATAAGTAATCATCTAATCAAATTGTTCCAAAAGTTATCTAGTTTGTTTTTAAATTGGTAAATGATGCATCCTGACATAACCACATCCCCAACTAGCCATTCATAAAAGTGTATTTGTTGTGAAGTTCTCATCATCATCTATTGTATAGTCCAGGAGACAGTGACGATTTTCGGTATTTATTTTCCCAGTCAGCAAGCACGAATAGAGAATTGTAGGATTAGCAATTCTAAGCAAAATTCATATATATTTAGAGGGGGGATCCGATGGGCTGAGGCCGAAAATGCGTCAAAACATACGAGAACATGGCCCTTTTTTTCCATTGACAAAAATAGTTTTAGTAGTAAGAGATGTACTGAAGTTAAGTAAAAAAATAGTCTAATTAATCTGTATGGATAATATATTTGGCAAGTGCATAAAATACACTTTCAAACGAGTTATGTACACAATTATTTCTACGACCACAATTATTTAAAGAATGTTCCAGATGTTTTGTAAATTAAAGTGTACACATAGGACACATAAATAAAATCTTATATCACAATGTTTCACCTAACCAGTTGGTTTATTTATAGAAATTAAACATAATAATTGAAGATATTACAGAAGAAAATAGGGAAATAAATTACATTTCCTTTTACACTTTTATATAATAATTGTTTTATTTAGAATTCACGAATCACTTATTACTCTACATTAATTATAATTATTGTTAGTTTCGTTATGTCAAATCATTTATACTAGAGGGGTAAGGAAAATACAGTGAACTGTGGAACACCAATATCGTTGGATGCGCGTGGTAGAAATGGTCCTATAATACTGCTAAAAACAGCTAAATTTTCATGGAAACACTGTACTTTTGACATTTGCGATACTCCGACGCATATGCATTATTGATGTAATCTCATGATTTTACAGTAATAGTTTTTGCAATTTTAGTGTGATTTTTAGGTTATTATGGTTATTCATTTTATTTGGTTCTGATCTTTTGCGCTTTTAGAGTATTTGTCTTTCATATAGTTTTTAATTTGAATTTTAATATTGTGGTCTATTTATATTTGATTGCTGCTTTTCGACTAGTGCTTTATTCTTTTTGTGTTAAAATAAGCTTTATAACCATTAAGTACATGCTTCTAGTTGATATCTACCTAATCGTCATCGGGTGCTTGCAACAATGGGAAAAAGTGTATGGTTTTTTTGGTGTAAAGTTAGACGCCTTCATTTTTCAGGTAAGTTATTTGTAGTTATTTTTTACTTAAAAGGATAGCAATACGTCCTGGTTCGGGATGTGACTTTTGGGTTTTAGCTATCTGAGCCAAATTGTCGGCTAAGTGTCCTCTTTTAGGGCACCCAGAACCAAAAACTATATAGGTATATATTATGTTTTTTTTTAAATTATTTTTTAATATGTATGCAGCTTGGATGAGGGCTTTAGGAAGAGGTCCTAAGACTGAACACTGACTGCTATAAATGCCGTTTTTAGAGCACATTTCATAGTAAGTGATTTCATTCTAGCAGCAATGAGGAAACGTTTAAAAAACATGCTGTACCAGCTATTACTTTAAGACCTCGTCTCTTTAAGTTATTATTACTTCATTCTAATGCATATATTAAAATGGTTTTTAACTTATGCCCTTATGATTAAAAGATGTAGGTATTTTAGTTATGTTATAATAGAAATATATGATACTTTGTATTGACTGACCTACTGGCCACTGGTCATTCCACTTTTACTCCCTTTTTTCATAAATTATCAAATTATTTAAAAACAAATACATACCTAGCTATTTTCTGTAAATTACATTAAAATTTTAGTATTAATACTTCACTAATAAAACTTCAGTTAATTTATCTTATATATACACAACGGAAGAGTTAATTGGATTTTCTCCTTGTTGAGTTTGAAAAATAGTAATTTAACATGATTTAAAAACAAATACATGAAATGGGCAAAATAGGCCTGCAAAGGCACGTTGTAAACAATCTCACTTGTATCGATGTGACGTAATGCGCGAATTCAATCTGGCTAACTTTTGTTAATAGATTGGCGTTCCATTTTAAATATACAGTTCACCGGGAATAGATTATTTAAATATAGACGGACCGGGAAAACAAGTACGAAAAAATTCACTGGCTCCTGGACTAGTACTGTATCGAAGTAATTTTTATGAATGAAACAATATACGACCCTCTACCAAAGATTTGATTCGACAGATACTGTTGGTGTGGTCTTGCCGTGAAATTTATTTTTTGTAATTTTATTTAAAGGCCTCGTGGTAAAAATTAAGGTTATAGATCAGCGTATCCGAATTAAATCGCCCGAATTAAATCGCCTCTCCAACGCGTTGCCAGAAGTGGATTAACTTTGAAATGGTAAATGAAAAGCTTCTCTCTTGATTTTTAGTAGAGATAATGTTCGACATCTTTATAACATAAACAACTAGTTAGGCTGGCTATTTTCTCAACTAGACATTGGATGACAGTATTATAAAACGTGTTCGTGACCGACTTTATCGATACAATAAACGCTTTTATTTGGCATTTATACTGGATATATTCCATTAAGATTTTCCACACTGTATATTTTGCTAATACTTTTAAAATCTTTACAGATGACGCACAATTTTTTTTAGATATATTTCATCCAAACATAATTATAATTGATGAGACACAAATATTCAATTTTTTTAAATCTAAAGTATCAAGTTTTATTATAGTATTTTAATGAACGTTTTATTGATTCATTTGCATAATCAACTAGTCGTTTTTGTGTTTTTTTGGTATTTAAAATTAATACTTAAAAAGTTAAAAGTAGAAATTCATTGCGATCATTAAACATTTTCATCGAAATCAAATGTCAAAAAAATCATTTCAGTGCTTGCCACAAAGCAATAAAATAAACTGTAAATCTAAATGAATTTAATCGCTATAATATTTGAAATATGTTCCACGCCTGAAATGAGGTTTTTTTTGGTGTAGAAGCCAACTTCAACACTTGCCACACGAACTTTCGCACAACTTTTAGTGGATACCAAGACAGCCATGGGCGAACTTCCTAATATTTTTATTTTCATATTTCTTTATAACAAAAATTCTTGCAATTTGAATTCTAAGAATGAAAAAATATATAGTTATAATTGTGTTTTACTTCATAATAAGTTGTATTTTTTGTTTTTTTGTTCCACAATTCTAAAATTATAATTTTTAGTTTTAACTATTTTGGGTAAAAACTACCGAAAACGCAAATCTTCAGAAATATGATAAATTGAAAAAGAAATGAAAAAATTAGAGCACAGGTAGGAAAATAATGTTTTTCTTTTTGTTTAACTGATTTCTAGCGTGCAGAAGATACTACTTTATGTGTAAATTTCTGCATTTAGACGACAAATAAATACACAGGGGATACTACTTTATGTGTTAACAGTGCATCCATTCATAAAATCCGTCTGCAAAACGAAAAATGCTACTTAATGTGCAAATTTCGCAAAACTTTGATGGGGGCAGATACTACTTTATGTGTTAATTCTGCATTATAGGCAAAGATATGTACAGAGTAGGCTACTTTATGAGTTAACTCTGATCTTATACTAGTACCTATAGGTTTGAGAATGTTTTTCTTTATAAATATAATTGATTTTTAGCTTGCAGAAGATACTGCTTTACTGTAAATTTCCGAACTTAGACACCATATAAATATACAGAAGATACATCATTCATATAAGCCGTATGCAGAGCGAAAAATACTACTTTATGTGCAAATTTCGCAAAACTTTTGTGGCGGAAGATATTACCACAGCATATACAATATAGCTCCACAACTCCGTGTCGGCGTCTTTGATCTGGCGGTCGAGAACCAAGCAAGACGGAATGGTGCTATCTCTGTTAGATTCGAAGGAAAAGTCGGGCCCGGATTAAACAATTTTTTTATTATTGAAAAAATTGAAAACCTTGGCGTAATAAGGTTGGTTACATGCCATATTAAGTAAGTTTTGGGAAATTAAATTTTTAATTTGTTTTAAATCTGTCAAATATAATTAGAAACATTATTTAAATATAAATATTACGAAAAATAGCACATCTTTCGGATTAGAGGTAAAATAATTTGTATGTGGCTAGTAAAATC